TGTGGTGACCAATTGACTACAGTGTGCAATGCTTCAACATCCAGCAATATTCTTGTTTGGGTTATTTGTGTATTGATTTTGCTATGAATCCAGACGTTCAATACTATAAAAAATTCAGAATTCATTGACTGCAAAGGAATGAACGTTGTCAGCATTTTTAATTATTTGTTCTCTGCAGACATGGAAGCTTTTCAGATGCCAAAAATGCTCCTTTTGGCACTAATTTAAAGCCAACAAGTTTTTAGAGATATGAAAATCTAAAGGAACACACATCAAATCATTTGATCATGGCTGGCTTTATAATATATGAACTGTTGTTTTAGCTGCTCATCTCTAGTTATTATCTGAAAACACATACTACATTTCTGTAGATAATAGCAAATAATAAAGATCCAGAGTGATTTTCTTAGACTATAGCCTAGCCTACTATAAAAAAAATCTAATAAAAAATAAAAGATTTTTGATCATGGTCTTGCAGTTTTAATGGGATTAAAGTCACAGTTCAAGCACATGGGTTATGAAAGATCTGAATAATTGAGTTCTGTGTCTAATGGTCAGAGCAGGAACTGCTTGTCACATATCTGCACTCAACCCTTTCATTGTTACCCTAACTTACTGTCTCCCTCCATCAGTGTCAAAAGTATCTCAGGGGTAGTTTCAGGTCCAGTTTTCTTCACTTAACAACATTCCATCAAACAAATGAGAGCTGATATGATGAGAATTTATAAAAGCGTACCTACTGAGTGCTACAAGTTTCCTGTGCTATAAAGGGCGTTTGTAGGACAGTTGAAAATTGTGTTTATAGTTGCAAACAGCGGAGTCTTGTCTACTATTTTTGAGAAAAACATGAAAATTAAGTCTTCAGAGAGTTGGAACAATAAATGCCTGTGGTTTTATTAAAGTCATGTTTGCAGTATGAATACTGATGATCTGGTTTTAGGCAGAAGTGGTTAATTTGCACTTTGTTGGGGAGACGCACGAGGCCAGCTAAAGAAAAGTTTGGTCAGAAACCACAAACACTTGAATGACCCAGAGACAGAGGTAGTCAGACGGAACATGTAGATTGTCTCCCCAGTGAATTCTCAACTGTCCATTATTCCACCCACTAGTAATGTAGCTCTGCTGAATTATTGAGGCTTTGCATTCATTTGAGAGCTGAATTCAGGGTGTAAGCGTGTGTCCATACATATGGCTTTGATGGCTCTTTTTAAACTCTTAACTCTTTTGATATTTAAGGGGCCTGACCACCTGACATTGCGCTTAAAAGTGCTTCCCTGAATAATTTTTAACGCTACATATGATATTTAATTATACAAATGTAAATATTATTAAAATTACTTTAAATGTATTATTACACTCTAAACAATGCTGGGTTAAATACAACCCAATGCTGGGTAAAATAGGGACAAACCCAGCAATTGGGTTGTTTTGACCCATCGGTTGGGTTACTACCCAGAAGGTTGGGTTAAACATTTAACCCAACCGCTGGGTCAAAACAGCCCAATTGCAGGGTTTGTCCCTGTTTTACCCAGCACTGGGTTGTATTTAACCCAGCATTTTTTAGAGTGTATAAATAGCCTACCAAGTGTCTTAATTGTTTCTTTCTTTGTCTTATTTTTAATGAGAACCAAGTAAGAGTTTATTGAAATTATATTATTATGTAGATAATATGTAATAATGAATATGTATGACTGACTTTTCAGTTGTAAATATATGGTTTGGCTAGGGAACAAAATAGTATCAGTTCTCATTTACCGGCTCTTTGCACAATTAGCAACAGTCTGTCACATTAGCATGTCGTGCTTTTAGCTTGTCGTTGTACGTCTGACTTGCATTAAATTAACAACCTTGCGTAAATATTTGAGTACATAGTAATAATGAATATGTATGACTGACTTTTCAGTTGTAAATATATGGTTTGGCTAGGGAACCAAATAGTATCAGTTCTCATTTACCAGCTCTTTGCACAATTAGCAACAGTCTGTCACATTAGCATGTCGTGCTTTTAGCTTGTCGTTGTACGTCTGACTTGCATTAAATTAACAACCTTGCATAAATATTTGAGTACATTTAATTCACAACAAAATTGTGTTGAATTAATAATGGCTAATTAGCGTGATGCTCATTAAAGAAAATCCAGACTAAGTGGGGTGTCATGCTTATGTTGTGACAGTTCCTTGAATGATAATGGAACTGAGCTTTTTAAAAATCATGGATGTGATACTACAGAACAAACACATCCTTAACATTACGATTTTATTTAGAAATACTAAGAAATGAAAGTTATTACATTGTAAAGGTTTTTTATACATTGGCTGGTGTGTGACAGACACTACACAACAGCAACATCAGCATCAACTAGCTAAACACTTGCATTTGAGTTATAAATATGTGCACGTTTAGAATTTCAAATCTCTGTGTTATGTACCTTATAAACATAAACACGTTTCCCCACTGTATTGCATTAATACTGTTTTTATCAGTCTCACTACAAAATAACCAAACTACCTTATGCTAACCTCCATACTGATAACATAATGAGATTCTATCTCAATATTTGTCATATTTATCCATACAGAAAATTACACACTGTAAAAATCTTTTTTTGTTGTTGTTGTAAATAAAGATCAGTGGAGTACATTTTACAAGAAAATACCATTTCAGTTTTTCCACTCTAAAATATCACTCTAATTCAATACTTTCTGTTTTCTCTGCATTTGTAAAATACTAGCGATTTCTGAAATAGTTTCTCCGTTATTTTCAGAGCAGATATTAAATGAATATTATATTGTAGGTGTATAGTCTGCTTTCATTCTACATTTCATTCTATAGTCTGGGACATTCTACCCCAAATTTTTGTTTTTCCTAAATGCCTGACAAAATTTTGCACACTTGGGATATCTAACTCTGAGCAAAGTGGCTGACCCCCTGTGTGTGACCTACAAAACATTGCTCTTTATGACAATGGTCCCAAAGCTCAGGTCTGTCTGTCTTGTTTTAGAGTCTGCTCTCAACAGGGAAAGAGTCTTAAAGTGAAGCTGAATGTCTTTACTCCAAGAGCCCTGAGGCGACAATGTACAGGTTTAAAAACACCTGCACCCCAACAGATCCACACTTTTAGTGCACGTCGTGATGCCATGTTCCTCCAAAACGTTGTGTTCCTGAAAGCCAGATTTACCACAATCCCACCGGGGCCTTTTTGAGTGGCAGTGTGTATGGAATGTGACCAAAGAGATTGTGAGGAAGTAAACAGATGTTTTCACTCTTTTTGTGCTGAAGGGACTTTAAAATAACCCTTCACCTGAAAGAGGTTTTCACCTGCTGTGCCATTGTGGCCATGGGAATTAGTGTGGGACTGAGGGAATTGTACTGCAACCCTAAATGGCTTCAGTTTGCATTAGTCCTGACTGAGTCAGTTTGCTATCTGACCACTGCCCCGATTGAGAGCTGCTCCAGGCTACCTAACCGCAGGAACAGCCTGTCTGTTGTGATGCGCTCGGCGTTGACATCTAATACACACACAACAAAGAAAACTGGAGCTCATCACCCTGTGACTAATATCAAATATCATGTTCATCACTCATTTCACAGTAAATAATCGATTTATTTGGGCTTTAGAATTTTAAGATTTAAGTAAATTATTAATTTACTTGGCATTTAGATATTATTTATGGATCATTTTGACTGGAATTACCAAATAAATCCACTGATCGCTTTAATGAAACACTGCTGTTGCACGAGAGCGCCATCTACTGAAGAAATAAGACTGAACGCATCTATGAATTCTTGGATCCTTTTCACAGATTGCAATAATTAATACCGTCAATCTAGTAATTGTAACACTATACTGTGAGTTATATTGTCCTGGCATTAAATTACTAAATTTTGTAAACACTATAGAGATGGGGTGTCTAAATTTGACATATTTCTCTCTTTCATCTGCCGTAATTCATTTCTCAGTATTTGTTTCCTCTTTTAGAATGTCAATGGCAATAGGCCTAGTTGATTTTTTATTTTGCTGTTGGAATAAATAGTTAAATTTTCCATGTCATATACCGGTAGTTTACTTCTGCGCATGTACACCTTACTAAAAAAAAGGGTATGGACTGCATCACACTAACCAACAGTTAGTGACATTATTGATTTTATTATATACATGCAGACATAATGGGCCAATAACTGCATGACTCAGCAGCAGGTGCAGATGAAGAAAAAAACAATACACCGTCATAAAAAAAACATGACAGTAGTAAAACGAACTTTCCTTAATGCAAAGCCAAGTATTATCTATATGATCTTAAGAAAGTTGGGAAAAAAGATTTGGCAACAACAGTTTAAATCAACCTTCTAAATACTGCAGCAAATATACTGTATATCTCCACAATGCAGGCAAACAGCCCTTTGAGACTTCACTTATCTGTGGACAACACAATGTGTTATTTAGCTAGTGCACAGAATAAATGATTAACCTTTAAGAACTCAACTGAACTGATGAATACAGAAATGGAGGATTACCCTGAAACTGGATTTTTACAGGATTTTGATTGGGACAGGCAGCGTAAATACACTGAAATATTACAAAGAAATTCCACTTTTTCCACTTCTCTCCTTTATTATTCCAATACAGACACTAAGAACTGCTAGCAAGTCGGTTGTTGCACTAAATAGCTAACGGCTATTCTTTCATTGTGAATACTCTTCCTGCAGTTTTGTAGCACTTGCTACTGGACATGACAATTTGGACAGTCAATCTAGGTCAGCAATCAATCTGGAGCACATATTTATGTGTAAAATCAGAAGTGAAGATAGTGGAATTCCCGCCAAAGGCCCATAAGCCGTACCAATGTTGATGAACGGCTATATCATTAGCCATTCCATCACAATTAGCTAAAAAGTGCCTGAATTTTTCAAACTATTTGTATATAAGGCCCGATCGGTTGACAGATTTTGGACAAAAATATAGAGAAGAGGAAGTATAAAGTCTTGACCATAAAACCTCTACATATAACATGACAAAAAAGAAAACCGGAAACTAACTTGACTCATCTAAAATCAAGAACTTTCTTCACTTACCAGGTTGTGTTATTGGAAAAGGCCCTCTCAACTTGTCCTCCAACAATAAGTACATTATTTTGAGAAAGAGGTTCCAGCAGCTTGTTAAGAAAGCACCCCCCTCCAGCTTTCCAGGTCTCATAGTCAAACATTAGCACCACCTTTAGATCAGGGTTATTAATCAACCCTGAAAATCAAATACAGAGTATTCTGACATGAATTACCATCCAACCAAACCAATGTCTATATATACTACCATTCAAAATTTGGGGTTAGTAAGATGGAATGGCATGAGGTTGAGTAAATGACAGAAGTTTTTGGGGAACTGTCTCTTTAAATTGATCAAAAAGACGTTTTTAATATTACAAAAGATTCTATTTCAAATTCAAAATGTGCTTTTGAACTTTCTATTTTAAGAATCCTGAAACAAAAGTCTCACATTTTTCACAAAAATTGGAAGCGGCACAAATGTTTAATGAAGACAATATCAGATTTCTGAAGGATCAAGTGACACTGAAGTCTGGAGTAATAGCTGCTGAAAATTCCGCTTTGCCATCACAGGAATAAACGGAGGTTAAAGCAAAAAAAATAATCTTTTGACTGAATTTTTCCTCAGCCAAACCCCATTCTACAGCCATACCTGTCACACACCCAGTTTAAGAGCAGTTTTCTTCTTCTTGTAATTAGGAGCGCTTGTCCTCCTAATTTAAAAATTTTAGGAGCACCTTCTGATCAATAATTAAAAATTCTGATAAAGAATTATCCTTCCTAATACGAGGTGATACTTGACTCAACGTGATTTACAGGGGCATTTTCTTTTTACCTTTGTAATGGCATTTTTCTAATTTGATTAAAAGTATGCAGTGTTTCCTCTAGGATTTTTTTCCAGCTGTGGTGGCAGGACTATTTCCCATGGACCACGCCCCCTCCCCAAGTAAATAGTAAATAAGAACAAATAAATTAATGACAATCAATAGCACAAACAAAAACGATAAGATATAAATTAAATTAACAGTACTTTACTTTTTTTCAGTTAGGTCTAACTATAATCTATTCAACTGTAAAATAACACTGGTTAGTCTTCACTGTATAATGGAGGTTTATTTAGGCTGCTGTCTCTTTAAGACCTCATGCACAGATCTAATATACTGTTACACAGGGCTCTACACTTAGGTTTCTTTTTAGGAGTGCTTGTCCTCCTAATTTAAAAACAATTAGGAGCAACTTCTGAGCAATAATCAAATTCTGATAAAAAAAATTAGCCTTCCTAAAACGAGGAGATATTTGACTCCTTAAAGTGATTTACAGGGGCATTTACGTTTTACCTTTGTATTGGCATTTTTCTAATTTTATTAAAAGTATGTCATCATTATGTCAAATTCAAAAACGTATGTTTATAAGCTTTATAAAAAGTCTAATTAAAACAATATATTAAGAAGTAGAATAAGACAAATAAGTTACCAATCATATGAAATTAGTATTAATAAAAAATTAATTTGTACTACAGAGGTGGCACAGAAGAACACAAAAGTGGCTTGTAGCCCAGGTACATTTTCAGACGTTTAATGAGGCTCAGAGGTGGCATGAGTGCATTTAAATTCATGTTGAGATTGTTTAAAATATAACATTTTGAATATAGAAATATTAAAATGATTTAAATAACTGAAATTATACATTAAAAATGAAATTAAATCCGCCAGTAGGTGGCGGCAAGTCACTGATTTTATCACTAAATCATTCATTCAATTGATTCGTTTGAGCGGCTGATTCATTCAGTCTATATGAATGGCTAATTGAATCATTGACTCACTAGATTCGTTTACAAATGCACTTTCATTCATGAATGAAACACCACTGTGTTTGCTTGGAGATGCTCAGCGGCTGAGCTGTGACTTTATTTGGAACTACTTCCCTTGATGAAATAGAGTAAAATCAGGCAGTAGTGTTTTAGTTAGTCAACGTAAGTCACTTAAAGGGGTCATATGATGCTTTTTTAAACATTATTATTTTGTGTATTTAGTGTAACAATATGTTGACATGCTTGCCACGCGCACACACACACACACACGATGTGCAAAACACCGCATTTGAACAGTCAATAACAAATACTTAAACTAATAAACAAAACAGTAGCGGATTCAGAAGCGCCAGATTGTCATAGCAAAGTCAGAATTACCTCCTCTCCTAGGTTCACGAAACGGTGGTCCATAAAATGCATTGTTGCTCTGTTTTAAATAATCTTAAAGATTTCTAAATGAATCCACTTTCGGAAGGCCAAATAAAGTGCTTTTGCTTTCGCCTAGAAACACACAGCGTCTCCCTGACATGGCTGCTTCAACACTAACTGCGGTTACTGAAACCACGCCTTCTTTCTTTGCGTGAACATTTGGGCCGCATTATGCAAATATTTCTACATAGTGAGGTAGATATGTGGGGGCGTGTTAGAATGAGCCGTTTTAGGGGGGCGTGGCAGAGTCTTAACTTTGATAAAGAATATCTCTTTGGTTTTGAGACTTTAGTCTTTGCAACTTCAGGGATCTTATCTATGCACAATCAGCTTGTAACACTCCAAAGAGAAAGGAAAACTTTTGCAACACATTTGCAAACTCCATTAATAATCTTTAAAAGCTGTCACTCTCCTTTATCGCGATCTGTGGGCGCATGAAAATGGTCTATAAGAGAGCACACCAGTGAGTTCACTTTCACTTTAAATAAGCAAGACTCAAAAGCACGTGCAATTGATACATTCCATCAGCTGTCATCGTGGGAATGAGTAGAATTATTATAGATGCAATCCCGCGCCGAAATTCAAGTCCTGCTCTGTGTTCTCTGTTAATTACTCAACTGTGAATGATGCGAGCGGCATCACTATGTTGTCAGTGAGAAGCTGCAGCCGTGGCGGGGAAGATTTTTGGTGTGCCGGTGTCCTGACATTTTATCCTACCTGTCAGATTATCCTACCAGGGCTTCAATCAATATTGCGTCCTTTTTCTCATGCTGAACAACAATATTTAATGTATCTGCATTACTGTAAGGGTAGGTTTAGGGTTGGGGTAGGTGTAGACATTAATAAACCATAATTTGACAGCTAGCATTTTTCGTTGTCGAATTGTACTACCTACTGTTTTAATGGGAACAGTTTGGCAGAACAACAACAACAACGTGCTACATGTTTCTTTTCCCCTCATTTTTTCCAATTGACGGAAATCCGTCGTAGCGACTGAAAATTTTACGCCCTGAATAAACTACATTTTAAAATATATTCATTTAGAAAACAGTTATTTTAAATTGCGATGATATTTAAAAATATTATTTTTACTGTCTTTTTGATCATATAAACACAGCCTTGGTGAGCATAGAGACTTCAATGCTTCTTTAAAAAAAACAAAAACTAAAAAAAACCTTAACCCAAAACCATTCCATTCAAACCAACCCCAAACTTTCACTGTTTTAGTGAAAAGATGGTCCTACTTATAAAAATAAAAAAAAAGAAATCGCACCAGTTGCTACAATCTAAACAACTCACCTGCTTCCTCCATTGCCGATTCACTGAGGCTCTTTTTGCAGAAGTGAAAAGGCCGGATGGTAACTCCATCCATGGCAGGGAAAAGCAGACTGAAGCCAGCTTCACCCTCTTCGTGCTCTTCTGGGGGGCTGCTGGGTGAACCACTGGGGGTCACTATAGCACACAGCATAAGAAATTAGTTACACTGCTGCACTGACCTTACCATCAAACACAGTAATGGCAGAACACAGGGAAAGAGGGACAATTAGTCTTACCAACAATTCCTGATGTAACAATTCCTACTACATCACAAGTGCTAGGCAGCAAGCGTCTCAGCTTCTCGACAGGATCAGACGCCACTTCATTCTCACACTTCCTGGCTGTAACAAGAATGGATGGAAGTGAACAAGTGAATCTCCTCATCATGACTAACAGGTTTTTAATACAAATAATCACGTAACTTACCCTTTTTCTGTCTGTAACTAAAAGGCCAATTGAAGTTTTCTCCATTCACCATTAGGAGAGCTGTCTGGGGCAGTAGATAGACCTTCTGCAGGGTGTCAGAGGAAAGAAAAACATTTCAAAAATCTGTAAAAAATTATGCTTGTCATTTCTAGAGTTTACAATAACTTTAACTTTGCTTTTGTTACAAAAAAAAGCAGCAAAGACCATCTGACCTCCAAGTCTTCTGCCATAGTTCTAAGCAAAACATGCTCCTCGTATATGGATGAGCCAGAGGCAGAGAGCCAGGTCAGTCTTTGCTGTGTCCTCAAGACTCTGCGTGCACAATTCCTCCATAGCCTGCACACACTACAGAAAAAGAAACACCAATATATATATATATATATACACACATATATATATATATATATATATATAACTGGTTGTTCATATGGAAATGCATAAATGAAGATATTTGTAGTGTTTTGTTGTAATAAATCAATGATCTGTTGTCTAAAAAAATATTTAAATATTTTGCTAAAACCAGTAAGAGAATTTTGGATGGCATGTTGCAATGTATATGCACATATACTATTACACTATGTATTTTAACAGCATTGTTTAATAAAAACATAAGATTACTTGCTTTTGATCATTTATTCATTAAATGATTAATTATCCATTGTTATTATACATGTATTTTTATGGCTATTGTCCAAAATAATCTGCCAACTACTAGATTAACAAAACAGGCAGAAATATTCTTACAAAAAATACTAAATAGAAACTCTAAGACACACTGTAGTTTGTGTAACGTCAAGCATCAGTCTACTGTATATTAAAGATAGCTTGACAGTAATTGTTACTTGTTAAAAGGTACAACACTACGCACTCAACGAATTGAAGCGCCGATCGATTCTAAAATGTAACAAGTAAAAACATCATTTAAGTTTTTCATTGTAGAAACCTTTTTTTTTCAACTGCAGTTTTGCTCTGGAGCCCCCGCTGTTTGCATTTTACGCTATTAAGATTAACAGATCAGCTGACAGAGCTGTTAAGAGAAACCCCAAATAAATCATCACCTAAACGTTAAACCATCAAGACTAATTCATTTGCATTCGGTTTACGAATCTGATGAGTGACAACTGACATCCAGATGAATATCATCAACTATCGTTCATTAATACATCACCACACTTTAAAAAAGTGCGAAACTTTGAAAATATTGGCAGCAATAACTGGTGTATTCTAGTTGATCTAGTCTTGAGAAAGAAAAAGCGAAACCAGAAAGATCGTAACAACATAAATGTGTACATTTAAATGCTGTTCATTCATAAAATGAGGGTATATAATACCGCTTGAACTGTGATGGTCCGAATGGGGTCTTCTGATTAGCTCAAAGCTAACAGGCTAAAACATCAACACTCAGCTAGAATCATTACCTTGCTATCCGGAGGAGATTTTTAGTCGGCACAAACGTCAAAATCCTCTCCACGACCTCGGCAACATTACTCAGGATATATCCAGCTTTACTTTCCCCCAATATGTTTGGAGAAGCTGCATCCCCTTCCATTTTCACACGGATTCTCTTCTCACATTTGACCCACCACACAGAGGCGGAACCGGAAGTTGTTTAAAAGTCTCACAACGAGCACTTGTACAGACCCCTAACTACAACATGTTTACTGTGATTGTATTTTGAACTAAAAAAAATTATATGTCAGTGTCAAATAAATAAAGACGCAACAAGTATGTTCATGCAAGTGAGAACATGTTGGCATTGCACTTGGCATTTAGAAATTAAATGATTTTTTCCCGTTATATTAATTATTTAGCAAGTTGCAAAAAAGTAAACATTTATATTTGTGTACCTGAGGGTTGTACATTGCATGTATATCAGAAATGGCACGTTTTTTCAGATTTTAGAAGAACTACTGACACTAGTAAATACAGTCTACTCTTACAACACGACTCACCTTTGGTAATGATCCAAGGTGTGTTATATAATGCAGAGGGCACTTTCCTCTTTCTATGTAAACTTTTCCCTTTACGTAAAATGTATTGAAAAGGTTGAGGCTGTTTACCAGTTAAAGGAAACGGGTTGCCATGGGTTTTCACATTTAAAATATAAGCTTTAGGTTTTGTCACTCTTGTAGATTCAACCCATACACAGTAAATCCTCACGTTTTATAATATATCTTTAGCCTTGACATAAAAAAAGCTTAAGACCCACAGTACCAACAATAATAGAATAATGAAATTATGGATTATCTGGCATCACAGATTATTGGTTACTCTGTGTGCAACACAAACAATAGACTGTGTTCATATTCATATTCAGCGTATGCCCTGGTTTTCTCTCAGTCTGTTGTGAGGTTAGAATTCACTGAGTGCTAAACTGAGCTCATGTGAAAGGACCCGGTTTTTCCGGAGCTGTTGATAGAGGGAGTCTGGTGAGAAGATAAGAAAAGGGAAGGGAAGGGAAGGGAAGGGAAGAGAGGAGAGGAGAGGAGAGGAGAAGAGGGAAAATTAAAGGAGAGATGTTAGTTCCAAAAGCATTTACCCAAAATGGTTTGCTAAAGTAAATGCTAAGATCTTTCTTTTAATCCAATATTTACAATGCCACAGAAGCTGTGCTGTAAAATGTGATGGAATGAATAGGAGAATTACAGCTGTACACGAGCTGCCAAAGAGAGAAGCAACATAAGGTGATGAAAAGGAGCTTTTTTTGGACTTTATTCAAGCTTCTCGACAATAAATTAAGGACATATGAAATCAAAAGAGTTAAGACATACTAAAGAGAGAAAGGAGTGGGGAGCTTACAGAGATGGGAGGAAGTTTTATTTTACAGAAAGCAAAAAATTTCTGTACAAGTGATGGGACTATAGAACTGAGAGCTCCATCCCCACTGAGAATAGTGCGATGGAGAAAAGCGGCAACAGAGACAACACGGAGGAAATGAAGGAGTTGCCGCTCAGATGGTGCCCAGAGCCAGAGATGAGATGCAAAAAATTTAACTGTACAATGGGAGAAACAAAAATGAGTTGAAACAAATGAGAGATGGTTATGTTAAACAATAAAGGACATGCGAGATATATAAAAAGACTGTCAGTGTCAGATAAATATACATATATTTGGTCAATCACACAACAAGTATGTTCATGCATGTGAGAAAATGATTTCATCAGGCATTTTGAGATTGATTTATTTGTTTATTCACATATAAATAATTTAGCAAGTTGCAAAAAAATGTAAACAATGTTTACATTTAAAAATTAGTTGAAATAAATGAGAAAAGAAAAAAAAACGAGTTAAAACAAATGAGAGATGGTGATATCAAACAACAAAGGGCATGCCAGAGATAAAAAAAAAAGAGAGTCATCATGCATTCCAGATGAAAGACAGTGTGTCTGTAATCTAATTTTTTATACATAACTTCATACCTAGTAAATCAATAGAAAGGTTTGTCAAGGAGGCTTTAAATTTAATACTGGGTTCAGTCTAAAATCTGTCATCAAACCTGAAAATTAGATTATACTAGCAGACAGAGAAACTGGAAATGCTATTAAACCAAACACATGTGCACACTCTAATACACAAACACGAGTAACATGTGGTGATAGTTACATGGAGGTCATGTCGTTGAGAGCGTGGTCCAGCTCCTCGCTGATGGCTTTGTACTTGAGTTTCTGAGCATACAATTCATCTAAAGTAGCCAATTAAAGGCCAGAATGGTAGAGAGGTGTTGAGTGGGGAGGAATGGGAGGAATGGAAAAGAATGGAGAAACAAATAAATAAGGGAAAGGAAGCAGTGCAAAGGTGGATCGAACAATGACAAGTGGCCAGAGAGAGACAGATAAAAGCAAAGACTAGGAAAACAGAGGAGAGGAGAGGAGAGGAGAGGAGAGGAGAGGAGAGGAGTGAAAATTAAAGGAGAGATGTTAGTTCCAAAAGCATTTACCCAAAATGGTTTGCTAAAGTAAATGCTAAGATCTTTCTTTTAATCCAATATTTACAATGCCACAGAAGCTGTGCTGTAAAATGTGATGGAATGAATAGGAGAATTACAGCTGTACACGAGCTGCCAAAGAGAGAAGCAACATAAGGTGATGAAAAGGAGCTTTTTTTGGACTTTATTCAAGCTTCTCGACAATAAATTAAGGACATATGAAATCAAAAGAGTTAAGACATACTAAAGAGAGAAAGGAGTGGGGAGCTTACAGAGATGGGAGGAAGTTTTATTTTACAGAAAGCAAAAAATTTCTGTACAAGTGATGGGACTATAGAACTGAGAGCTCCATCCCCACTGAGAATAGTGCGATGGAGAAAAGCGGCAACAGAGACAACACGGAGGAAATGAAGGAGTTGCCGCTCAGATGGTGCCCAGAGCCAGAGATGAGATGCAAAAAATTTAACTGTACAATGGGAGAAACAAAAATGAGTTGAAACAAATGAGAGATGGTTATGTTAAACAATAAAGGACATGCGAGATATATAAAAAGACTGTCAGTGTCAGATAAATATACATATATTTGGTCAATCACACAACAAGTATGTTCATGCATGTGAGAAAATGATTTCATCAGGCATTTTGAGATTGATTTATTTGTTTATTCACATATAAATAATTTAGCAAGTTGCAAAAAAATGTAAACAATGTTTACATTTAAAAATTAGTTGAAATAAATGAGAAAAGAAAAAAAAACGAGTTAAAACAAATGAGAGATGGTGATATCAAACAACAAAGGGCATGCCAGAGATAAAAAAAAAGAGAGTCATCATGCATTCCAGATGAAAGACAGTGTGTCTGTAATCTAATTTTTTATACATAACTTCATACCTAGTAAATCAATAGAAAGGTTTGTCAAGGAGGCTTTAAATTTAATACTGGGTTCAGTCTAAAATCTGTCATCAAACCTGAAAATTAGATTATACTAGCAGACAGAGAAACTGGAAATGCTATTAAACCAAACACATGTGCACACTCTAATACACAAACACGAGTAACATGTGGTGATAGTTACATGGAGGTCATGTCGTTGAGAGCGTGGTCCAGCTCCTCGCTGATGGCTTTGTACTTGAGTTTCTGAGCATACAATTCATCTAAAGTAGCCAATTAAAGGCCAGAATGGTAGAGAGGTGTTGAGTGGGGAGGAATGGGAGGAATGGAAAAGAATGGAGAAACAAATAAATAAGGGAAAGGAAGCAGTGCAAAGGTGGATCGAACAATGACAAGTGGCCAGAGAGAGACAGATAAAAGCAAAGACTAGGAAAACAGAAATGAAATGAAGTGAAATTACCTTCCTTAATCATAAGAAAAAATAAAATCTCTCAAATATCTAAATAGTATATTCTAGCAGTGGTGATATGTACTGCTGCTAATTTAAAGGCATATCCTTTAAATCACTATGTGAACTGTTAATTGTAACAGATTAACGCAAAACAAACCTAAACCTGATATTGCAAGGATGTAAATATGTAACTAAGTATTTAACCCATGTCTAATAGCAACAGTGAGGTACAAGTTGACATACCCTCCAGATCATCAATGGTCTTCTCAAGCTTGGCGACTGATCTCTCAGCAAACTCAGCACGAGTCTCAGCCTGGAACACAGAGAGATGTCAGGCCCTCTTATATGTAAGCACATACTCACACTCACACACACACACACACACAAGATGGTGGCTGAATGAACTCACCTCCTTCAGCTTGTCAGTCAAGACCTTGATCTCATCCTCATATTTGTCCTCTTTAGCGGAGTACTGTAGACAGGAAAGAGAGATGAGAGGATTAACATGCAAACACACAAAACAAATATACACAGATGAACATTCACTAATTCACACATACACATAACATTTATACGCTTACCTTCTCAGCCTGGGCTTCCAGGGACTTCATGTTGTTGGTCACAGTTTTCAACTCCTCCTCCAGCTCAGAGCACTTGCTATAGGTGGGAGTGACAGAAAATTGGAGACAAAAAATGACACACCGAGACTTAAGATACGCAAATATGTTTTTAAAAAATGTTCAATTTGTTTGTTTTTACCTCTCATTAAGCTCAGCACGCTCCTCAGTACGCTCCAGCTCACCCTCAACAATCACCAGCTTACGGGCCACCTGTGTAGCATCACAAAGAAGTGCACATGTGTTATGTTGTCCAAGATGAAGACATTGTTTATTGGAAATGATTTATTCATCATTTTATTGCATTTATTTATAATAAATGATAAGAGTACGAAAGAGAGAAAAAACTGACCTCCTCATACTTGCGGTCGGCCTCCTCAGCAATGTGCTTGGCCTCCTTCAACTGGATCTCCTGCAGCTCCATCTTCTCCTCATCCTTCAAGGCCCTGTTCTCAATGACCTTCATGCCTCTGAGAGAGACGGAGAGAGGGAAAGGGTTTGGGTGTTGTTATAACTCTCTAAAAATCATGAGGCCTATTGCAAATGTTTAAAATAAACTATCAATTTGAATTAGATTAAGCATCAAAGTAGTGTCTATATCCTCCCGTTAAAATGCAATTTTGGTTTATCCTACGTCAGAGGTTAATTAAAATCATACATTGCTATCTGACCGATGTGACAAAATCTAATGAATTGATATTCAATTCACTGCAATAAAAACTATAATATTTTACACATTTTTGTAACCCCAAAAATTAAAATGATTTAATTTGTATATTTATATAATGCTAAAAATTCCATATCATGGTTTTAACTTTTATTTAAAAATGTCTCAATTAAAAATGGAAAATAAAATTGGGAATATGAAAACATATTTGTGACCCTGGACCACAAAACCAGTCATAAGTAGCACGGGTATATTTGTAGCAATAGCAAACAATACAAGGTATGGGTCAAAATGATAGATTTTTCTTTTATGCCAAAAATCATTAGGATATTAAATAAAGATCATGTTCCATGAAGATATTTTGTACATTTCCTACCTTAAATATATCAAAACTTAATTTTTGATTAGTAATATGCATTGCTAAGGACTTCATTTGGACAGCTTTAATTAAAGGCGATTTTCTCAATATTTCGATTTTTTTGCACCCTCAGATTCCAGATTTTCAAATAGTTGTATATCTCAGCCAAATATTGTCCTACAATAATAATATTGTACAATAATAATATTGTCCATACATCAATGGAAAGCTTATTTTAAAAAAATGGACCCTTATGACTGGTTTTGTGGTCAAGGGTCACATTTGACGTCCTTGACCTCTTGCCATTTTTTGCAAAAGAAGAAAGTTCTTTCTAAGAGTCTCAGGGCTTGTTTTGTGCCCTAGTCATAATAAGTGGCCAATAAGTTTTCATACACACCTCTCACTCTCATCAGCAGCCTTCTCAGCCTCCTCCAGCTTCTGCAGAGCAGTGGCCAGACGCTCCTGAGCGCGATCCAGCTCCTCCTCAACCAGCTGGATGCGTCTGTTCAGGGAAGCGACGTCGCCCTCAGCCTGCGCACAGACAGCGAGTAATGAGCTCACCGCGCACGAATCTAGTCTAGCCTACATTAATAACTGATTTAAACAGCGCTTTCGTGAGGAAAAAAGTCTAGAACTGATTACACTGTCGTTTTACATACTATGCTTTTAAAAGTGATACACCATACCTCACAACATTCAAATGCTAGCGTCTACTAAGTTTCTGGGAAACTTTAAATCATTAAAGTAACGCGTTGTTCAAAGATGGGAGGACGACACCTGTCAAAAAGCATCATTAAACGCCAGTACAGAATCAATTATTGCGAACTTTCTAACGACGAAAACGTTGTTTAAACATAATTTTAGAATGATTTTCTTGCCATTTTCCGCCTTTTGATGTAATCTGATGCGAAAACGCGCTGCAGTTGGCCTGCTAATGCACTTAAATCATTATCGTAAGCTCACAGATTGCCTGGCTGCGCGCTCGGACTCCAGCTCCTCCTGTAGTCTCTGTATTCTGCTCTCAGCGTCGTCTGCTTGTTCTTGCAGAGACCTGATTTTCTTTTTCACAGCGTCGAGAAACGCCGTACCAGCAGCCATCACGAATCCTGTGGTTTGTTTGGATGGGGTATCACGGGGTGTTAACGGTGCTCCAGTAAAGAAAATAGCCCACCCTGATCCCCAGCCAGTGACTGGTAACGCTTTACCAAACACCGGAAGTCAATGGATCTAGGGCTAGGCTGTATTATCATTTTTAAACCAAATGACCTGCTTATTGCCTAAATTAATTGCCTAAAGACATGTCAATGAGTTTCCTGTGTTATCACTAGGATGAATAGGCCTACTGCCTTAAATATTGAACAGTATTTAAAAAAATTATTCAACTGAATGAATTAGATTATCAAAACTGCACTGTCGTTAAATGCATTTTCATCTCTCCGCCTATTCGTTTCACTTTGTTGCTTTTACAGATTTTGCACTCGTTTGGGCACTGAATTCTGTGCAACCTGTTAACTGTGTCATTGTCTAGGCGTACAGCGCCTTCTTGTGAAATGTTGCTGCAATACAGGTCGAGCACAATCCACTGGAAATCCATCGAGTTGGATAATTGTTTCAGAGTGTACCGAGTATTTTGGGCTTTATATCGAATGACACCCCCTCTCAATGGAAGCTTGAATTTCCCAGAAACTGCAAAAAAGAGGGGTCCTACACGTATTTTAGCATAGCTAAAAGCTTCAAATTCGTTTCGAAATATTAGAAAGTTGGTTACAAAGGTGCGCTAAATAAATGTTT